TTCTCTCTTACAAACTCACGACCTCTTTTTTTATTAGTTGGTTGCTACGTGCATATATGTCTATACATACATATTTCTAAATAGGTACCATGTTTTACTCAGGTCTCTCAAACAGCAGAGGACAGGATCAGTGGTGTTTCCATCAAAGGAGATATGGAACAGTCAGAGAATAAGAGGGGAGAGCATTTCTTGTTCTCCAACTCATTATGGGGCCCCTCAAAATTGCCCCCAGACAAGAGTACACATTTAGAAAAGAGAATATAGCTCAGAGACAGTGATGCCAAGTGTGCTTATCCTTTGCAAATAATCAGGATTAAAGTTGGCCATTTCCCAGGAATTCTTCTGTGTAGCAAGGACTCCATACAAAATAAAATGACAATTCCTTTACTGCTGTAAAACATGCACTCACGTCATTAAACAAGAACAATAGTGTCACACTGCCATTTCATCACAGCAGGGTTGCTCTGGTTCTTTACGTGGGTTTCCAGGCTTCTTCTCCCCTTTTAAGAATCAGATACATTTTTAAGTAAATAGGTAGGTAGATAGATGATAAATAGGTAGATAGACAGATGTGTGGGTAGGTAGATAGTAGGTAGGTAGATGATAAATAGAAGATAGATGATAGGTAGGTAGGTAGGTAGGTAGGTAGATAGATAGATGATAGATAGATAGATAGATAGATAGATAGATAGATAGATAGATAGACGGACGGACAGACAGACAGACAAATAGGTAGATAGTACGGTGGCCTGAATGAGAATGCCTACCATGGGCTCAGATGTTTCAATATTTGTCCCCAGTTGGTGGTGTTGTTTGGTTCGGTTTAGAAGGAGTATGTCACTGAGGTGGGCTGTAAGGTTTCACCCACATGCCATCACCAATTCCCTCTCTCTGTTTTGTGCTTGGGAGCCTTTAGTTTCTGCTCCAGCTGCCTGCCGCCTGCTGCCTCCCCTCCACCCTGGACTCTTATCTCTCTGTAACCATAAGTCCAAATAAACTTCTTCTGTAAGTTGCTTTTGTCATGGTTTTTATCCAACAAACAAAAGTAACTATTACAGATAGATAAGCCAAGTAGTTAGGTAGACAGACGACAGACAGCTTGTGCATCCAGGCATTTTGAAGCCCATGCTGAAATTCCTCCCCTTATCACACTCTGTAAGTTGGGTGGTTCCTTTTGACAGCTGTTCCTGCTTTCTCTATTTCTGTTTGAATAATCAGGAAATTATTTAACATGTAAACAAAATCCTTACTATCAACGAAATAAAATTATTCAAACCTCAAACCATTGAAATCAGTTGTAAACAAGCCAATCAGTTTTTATTCTTAGAACTAAACACTTTCTGTGGAACTGGGCAATGATTATGCCATTTGAAGACATCTGCCTTACTGGGGCCAACTTGTAAAATTCGCGACTTTAAGGGAATCTCTATGATAAAAAGTTTTAGGTCAACTCAAACTTATAAATAAGGGACTAGAGGTGGTCACAGTGCTTTAGGGAGGAAGGGAGATGGCAACTTTCCAAAAAAAGACATATACACACGAACTATCTTCCATGGAAATTACTGGGCAGGTCTCTAAAAGGAGAGTCCCCAAACAAGGTTTTGATGTCTCCTGGTAGTATGTGATTTGGTTCATTAAAATCACAAAGGAATATTACTTCTACAGGAAAGTGGGTGTCTAGTGGTCCTTGTTTTTTTTTTTTTTAGAAACAGGGTCTCCTGTGCAGCCAGTGACGGGCTCAAACTTAGTCAGTCATCTCTCCCTGTATTCTCTACCTCCATCCCACCCTCCCCACCAGATTTCTCCTCTCCCCATCTTCACCCACCCCCAGTTCACCCACAAAATTTACTTTATTTCCCCTTCCCAGGGAGATTCATGATACCCCCAGACTCTTCTCTTTATCTAACAAACAAACAAAAAAACCAAAAAAAAAAAAAAAGAGTGTTCTCTAGACTTCACCCTGTGTCTTACAGGTGTTGATTCAGAGACTGCCTTCCTAGAAGACAGGTGTCTCTACAAGGTGGCTTCCATTAAGAGTTACTCTTCAAGATCCTACAATACATTCTCATCATGGCTCCCCATCATCTCCTCCCAGATCTTCCCCACCTTCCCATCCTTCCACCTCCACAACTTACTTTCACTCTTGAAAACAAAAAGGCAAAAAAAAAAAAAAATCAAACAAACCAGATTTTTTTTTAAAAGCATGATAAACACATTCATATGTAGACACATAGAGATACACAAAGGCACAAAGACATACACACACAGAAAGATACACCGACATGTAGACATCAGTACACACACCAACACAGACTCACAAAAACACACATACACAAAAGCACAGACACACACAGATACATCCAGACACACTCAGACACAAACACAAACAACTAAAAATACATAATTCTTAAACTACTACAAATGAAAATTTAGAAAAATAATTAGGGCTGCCCTTAGAACCATGAGAAACGTGTTTATTAGTTGTGCATTTACTATTTGGGATCTGGAAATTGTTTTTTTGTTTGTTTGGTTTGGTTTGGTTTTGGTTTTTCGAGACAGGGTTTCTCTGTAGCTTTGGTGCCTGTCCTGGAACTAGCTCTTGTAGACCAGGCTGGCCTCAAACTCCCAGAGATCCACCTGCCTCTGCCTCCCGAGTGCTGGGATTAAAGGCATGCGCCACCACCGCCCGGCTGTTTTGTTTTTGTTTTGTTGTTTTTTTTTTAACAGCAACAAGAATGGTGCAGTAACAGGAAAGTTCTAGAAGATGCAACACTTCTACTTTAAAATGAGAATCTTGTGTTTCTGGATTTTATTGCTTGCAATAAAACCAATTTTTTTCTTTAAAAACAGTCCTACTATGTAGCCCAAGCTAGGCTTAAATTTGTAACTCCCCTGCCACAGCCTTCCAATTGCTAGGATTCTATGTATAAGCCATCCATCCCCACCTAGGGACACTTCTAACTTTTCAAATGAGAAATTCATATTTCAGTTTGAAGGACACACTAGGATAACATGAAGATTGAATAAATCAGTAAAGGGACACTGTGCCCACAATTTCAAATGGATCAGGAAAAAATGTAAAGAGTGCATGAGAAAACACAAAAAAAAATATGACAAAATATTAACATTTGGGCAATTTGGCTAAAATGTAGGGTGTTCTTCATACTGTTCTTGTAATTGCTCTAGAAGCCTGAACTAATCAAAACTAACAGCTGCACCTGAGGAAGGGACCCACCATGCTCTCTTGTAACCAGTTGCATCCACGGGAGATTGCGCCTGGCATCCATGGAGCTGCCTGGCTACTCCGTATGGTGACCACCATGGTAGGCAGGAAGTGAACAGACTCTTGAAGGTACAGGAGGGAACAGCTGCCTCTCAGCAAGCAGCGCTGAGGATCTTCAGGGCACACAGGAACCCATACATATCCCCTCCAATGCACACACACACACACACACAACTACAGGAAATGATAGGGAACCCCAAAAGAGTAAACGTATATCCAGATGACACTGGCCAGCACTGCAGTTGGGGGACTTGTGGACCAGTCTGTTTTGTGAAGAATAAAGATGAGAAACTTGGGACAAGAAGACCAGAAAGCTAAAGGAAACAGGTGGGACATGTTACAGACATTTGCTCTGCCAGAAAACTCGAGTCTGAGGAGGCCGAAGAACTGAGCAGAGGTACCAGAGATAAACATCACTCTATACCATGGGCCACCATTGTTGGCTCAAAGAGCATGGCTACACCAGACGCAGAGCATCCTGGGGATGTTCCAGCAGAGCGGGCCAACCACCGTGGAAGATGTCAGAAGACAGCATTCACTGCGGGGAGAGTCAACCACTTTCATCCATCCATTGCCGTACGCTGGAAGCACAAAGCGAGCTTTTTCTTTTAAAAAAAAAAAAATTTACTTATTTATTATGAATACAATACTCTGTCTGTGTGTATGTCTGCAGGCCAGAAGAGGGCACCAGACCCCATCACAGATGGTTGTGAGCCACCATGTGGTTGCTGGGAATTGAACTCAGGACCTTTGGTAGAGCAGACAATGAGCTTAACCTCTGAGCCATCTCTCCAGCCCCCAAAGTGAGCTTTTTCAAGAGAATGGTGGACAAGTCTGATTCTCAGCATCTCTGACTTACTGGTCTTGGTTACCTGGACTTTAGGAAACTCCGTGATATTTTTAATATGCAGCCAAGTTTGAGAATCTCTGGCTTCAAACACACAGTCTTGGGGTACTGCAAACCTAAGAGCAATGGGATTGTGCGGTCAAGCCCAGAGTTCCCTCCTGCTGCAGAGAGTTCCTATTACTGGCCATAGGAAGATGGAATTCGTCCTGAAACCCCTCTACCTGAAGGTGTGCTCTCACTCCCACAACTCTTGCTCATTTCTTGCTAGGTTTGGGTTTTGGTTTTTTGCTTTCTATTTGGGAACTCCCTGAATTTAGGTTGATTCCAGAACTGGCGATGAATGTCTTTTGGTAATTATGGGGAGACAGGGGCTGTGACTCAGAATGTGACTCATGGTCCTTCCGTAAGGGTCCCCTTACAAGGAGATGAAGACACGCAACATCAACCTGGGGGCCTCCACACACACGCTCACATGCAAGCGTATCACACACACATACAGGCAGTGATGTATGTGACCCCTGCATTCAGAGGCAGAGGTGAGAGGTTATTACATTTAATGTCGGCCTAGGCTTTTAGTAAGACTGTCTTAAAAACAAAACACAGAAGCCAACCTCTTGGGAAGAGAGAAATGGCTCAGAGATTAAGAGCACTGACTGCTCTTCTAGAGAACCCAGGTTTGATTCCCAGCCCCCATATATTAATCCAAAGCCATCTGTAATTTCAGTGGTGGGGATCTGTCTTCTTTTGACTTCTGTAGGTAACAGGCATATGTGTGGTACACACACACACACACACACACACACAGGCAAAACATCCATATGCATAAAGTAATTTTTAAAGGGCTTCTCCCATCAAAAACCACACACAATCTAGAATTTAAGATATGTTTATTTGTTTAATAGGAACATTCAGGTATATAAATAAGGTAAATACTTTCCAATATACAATATATCACATTCTTACACTGCACTGAGAAGAATCTACATGTGTTCTATACAATCCTAAGTGCAGAGAGAAGGGCAGGGCATGGTGAGAACACTGATTTAGTAAAGCCTGGCTTAGAGAAGTTACCCAACAGGAACACACACACACGCACATATCTATCTAAGAGAACTAAGGATTGTCACATGGATGCCACACAGCCAAGTGCTGTGTCCCAGGCCCCCGTCTGAGGACAGGAAAGCGGCCAGGCAGTGTAGGACAACTGGATTCAGCAGGTCCCGCCACACAATGAAAAAGGCTAGGAAACTAGGGTGCTCTGTGCCGTCTGCCACTGTGATCCCCACTGCTGTTAGGAAAAGTGTTAACTTCAGCTCAGACTCTAGAAGGGGCCAATGAGCCTAAGAATCCCAGGATAGATTTTCTGAGGTGATTTCTGACATCTACAGCCACCAAGGAGCACTGAACTGACCTGAGTCTACCTTTGGTTGTGTGACTCCCACCCCGTCCCCTGCTCTCAGTCCTGCTGCTGCACCTGTGACTTCTCCGGAGTCCCTAAACTGGACAAAGAGTTGCTGCCTCCCAGGGTCTTAATGGTTCCCCTGCCTCCACTCATTTGCTTTGTTATTCAGCCTTCGACACCTGCTCAGTGTTGTCCCAAGACAGAAACCAAGACATGAGAAAAGCCTCATACAAAGAACTCAAACACGTATGCACATTCAGCTCACTGCAAAACACTCTCACCCCTTCTCTACATCAGTGTTCCTTTGAGAAAAGCCAGAAAAACCAACACACAAACATAACGGGTGAGAAAGGAATTCTAGTAAGGGGGCAGAGGTGGCTAAGAAGGTAACACCTAAAAATTTCCCTTGGGGCAGATGGCCATGTGGCAAGTCCTTCTGATGCTGTACTCATTCAAAGTCCTTCAAGAGCTAGAGCTGGGCATGGCCACGGTCTAGGAAAGCAGTGCCCCAGGACCTCTGTCAGCACTGGACTTCTCTCTCCAGATAAAGGACTGCCTGGTTCATCAGATGGCACAGTGAAGGAGGAGGGGCCGGGGCCGGCAAACACAAGTCCAGAAGAGCAAGAGGAGCTCCAGTCTCTGGATTCTAGCAACAGGCCTGCAGGTCCCATCAACACCCTGGGATACTCCACAGTCAGAACCAAAGTTCCTACTCACGTGGTCTGAGAAGCTCCGGAATCATGTTAGCCAATGCCATTCAATCAAAGGGAAGGCTTGTCCAAGACACACACCCACATATACACCCTCTCTCTCTCTCTCCTTCCCCAATTCCCCATGTCCATTCAGAAAACCGATTAAACATTTCTCCATTCATGATTAATAATTATGTGTATGGGATCCTTTGTTAATCTAGAACAGACAGAAACACATCACCTGGCCTCAATGGTCACCTACTGTAATCTGTTCTCTTAAGAAAGAAACGCAGGGTGGAACGCTTGTGGTGTCAAGAGCACAGGCAGGGCTTTTAGGCTTCGGGCTGGTGTACTCAGCAGCAGGATTGTTTTCTCTATCCTGTCTATTCCTGAAATACACACCTGTAGAGAGAACCATGGATTCCTGCACTGTACAAGAGTGCAGGCCTTGGTTGGGAAAAGTGGGGTTCAGAGCAAGACAGGCCCTTGCTGCCCAGGGTGAGGCACCCCCAGGTCAGAGCAAATAGTCTTCCTGTGAGCAATCTCAGCCACAGGAAAAGAGGAAGCAGCCTCACATTGTCCCTCAGCCAAGGTGGCTTCGATACCATGGGAAACAGCAAGCTGCTGCATAGGGCTCTTCCCACTGGACGGCTGAAGTGCTCCTCTTGGAAGGACAGTGTGGTCACTTTATAGGACACAAACAGCAAACTGTGTGCAAGCAGTGGGAACATGGGAGCTGAATACCCATCAGCCCATCAGTGTGGGCTGAACCACTCATTGAGCTCAGTTTAAACAGAATAAAAAAAGCAACTACTATTTATTGAGTGCTGACTATGTGCCAGGCACCTTGCTAACCACATGCATTAGCTCAGGAAATCCTCACAAGCATCCTCACAGCCAGCTGCTTGGAACCTGGCCAGATGGAGGCTGTCTGAGCCTCAGGTCAGTCTTCTTCACATTGTTCTCATTTCTAACCCAGAGCTTCAGCTTTCCCATCCTTAAGATGGGAGAACACCTAGCCAGAGCGTCCTCTGGAGTAAAGGAGTAACGCATGCAAACCCTTAGCACTGTGCCTGGCGCATATTAAGCACTATATGTTTGCAATTGTTAATAACACACTGTTGCACTTCGCCAGCTGGAGAACAAGATAAAGAGCCAAGCAGATAGGCACTGACGAAGAGGAAGGGTGGGGACAGAGTCTTCAGACAGCCAATGGATTTGAAGACCACTAGTCATCAAACTCTAGTTTTTACATATTCTGCCCTTCTAGTCTCAAAACCATCCCATGTCCTAAAACCCCAACACTTCAGCATACAAAGCACCCTCTGTACCCTGTGCTCCAGAGAGTCCACCCACAGCTGACCACCTTGTGTCAGAGCTACCCTGCCACCCTCGCTCAGGTCTCCCTCCTCATCCTGACCTGGGCAAGAAAAACCACCTCTTCCCACATGAGCCAGTGAGCAGGAACAGTGGGCACAGACACGAAATACTCTGAGAGACAAGGACAACATGGCCTCAGATGTTCCTAACAAGAAGCTTTAGCTATGTTAGTTCACTTTGGGAGTGAGGAAAAGTCTCCCCTGGAGATCTACCTCAGGCTGACTTCACAAGAAAAGTGACTGCCATACAGTCTTGTGTGTGAGATACCCTGTCCTAAGTCCTTACATCACTCCTCCACCCAGCTCCTTAACAGGGACTGACCTCAGCTTGCCATGGGCTCGGTAAACTCAGGGACACATTCAAATCTGGCTCTTGCCAATCCAGCAATTAGCCCATAAGGTCTTTTTTGAGTCTTCTGAAATATCATAAAAATAGTTTCACAGTCCACCTATATAAGATTACATGTTAGATTTAATATCTCTGAAGACCAGTTCATGTTTACTACAGTACATTAGGAATAAATACATTTTAAATGTGGTTATAAAGCACACACTAAAAGGCTGAGATTGTGAAACAGGCTGTGTGTGTGTGTGTGTGTGTGTGTGTGTGTGTGTGTGTGTACACTCTCCAATTTCCTTACAGGACTTCACTTTCAGAAGTAAGATACAAACATGAACTTTGTTTTCACACTGAGGTGGTTAAGAGGGTGGGAATAACACACAAAGGGCAGGCCCCATTTCGTGGGAACATTCGTGAACAAACTCACCAGGGAGCCACCATGGCTTGTTCTGTCTGTCAGCCTGGGTTCCACGACCCCACTATCACTGGTTATAAGCTAATAGTCAGCTAAGCACTGGCTCAGGCCTTTCTCAGGCCCCCGGGACCTAGGAGAAGGAACACTGAAGAACTTCAGGTGTGGGGACGCCAAGGACTAGACGTTCCCGTCCTGCAAACAAACTGAGATGCAGTATTCTGGTTCGCCCCTGGCTCTCACTCGAGGGGCCTCAGAAGGCTGCTAGGAACAGATGGCATACAAACAGAAAAACAAAACCCTCTAAATTAAAACTGCACAATACTTACAATCACACAAAGTGGAAATAGAAAGCCATGCATGAAGGTGACAAACACTAAATTCATGACAAGGGAAGGCACAAAAATTTTATTTCTGACAAAATGAGTGTAAAGCAAGTTATGTGAGCCACTGAGACCTGCACGGTGCGTGTTAAAGCCGTCTCTCGGATCCTGCCTACTTAATGGGACAAACAACATGCTGTACAGACACACGGTGGCACTGCTCTCCTGGCTACTTGACTGGAAAGTCTCCTGTTTCCCGGGAACTCAGAAAAGAATACAGACCTCTGGCTGGCAGCGCCAGTGAGCACCGACTTTCCGTGTTTTCGGCACCAGCAACCACTTCCTCAAGCCTCTACTGCTGCGGCTCAAGAGTCTTGGCTGCTGGGGACTGGAGTGCCTTCTCTATCTAGTCTGGTGATCCAAGGTCATTCTTCAGTCAGAAAAGTACAGTCGCCTTCCTAAATACCACTGAAAATCTTAAGAAGACACTGACTCATCCTAAGAGCATTTGTAAAATGCACCTGAGTGTATTTCCTTTTTTGGGTGCCCAAGACATGACTCAATAGCAACAGGGGCCTCTAGTGACAGGAACTTCTCTGGAGAGTTACAGAACTGGTGAACTTCCAGGGTAAGTCAAAAAAGCAGAACCCTGAGGGCAAAGCTTCCCAGCCAAGGCCACACAACCCAAACCCAAGGCATCAGGGGGTTCAATGCAGCCCTGGGAGCTGAGAAAGAAAAGCCACAAGGCTGACGTGGACGTCGAAGCTCAGAGCCAAAAAGCCGTTCCACCCCTACTCCCATGTGGGGCGCATGATGGCGCATGACAGACACTCTGAGAGCTGTCTGTTTATTGAAGGAGATAGAAAGGCTAATCTGAAAACAAACTGGCACAGACCAATGTGCTTAAAGCAAGTCATGGCGCCCTCCTCAGCAGTGGGGACACCGTGGCCATGGTGTTGACATGCTTGGGACAAGTTCTTTCTCTGCCACCTGCTCCTGGGCCTGACAAAGAACCAGCCTCTCGACTTTTCAATTTCAGCTTATGCTTAGGAAGGAAAAGAACAATCACAGCTTACACAAACAACAGCAAGAGGTCCCCAGTAACATAAAAACTACATCTACACTGGTCACATTTCATAAGAAGATTAGCCTTGCTGTAGTAAAAAAGCAGGACTCAGGGATTCTGTGAAGAAGTCCGGATAAACACACAGACACACATTCACCTCAAGAGTACTATGTACACAACACAGCAGCAACACAAGTGGGCTTCCAGGCAAGGGGTATGTGAACCAAAGCCCACTGCTCCCCACCCCTCATGAGTCCCCAGACGAACTCAGCAGCAGCAAACCCATAGCACAAACGTGAGGGCCTCAGCTCTGAAAGAAACAGTCTGGAGGACCTCCTCCAGAAGTCCTCGGAGCCTGCGTGGCAGGGAAGGCTTGACAGTGCATTCTACTGCATATACCTGAAATACTACAGTGTGGGGTTCTCTTTCCAGACTTCATCAATTCTTCACGCTTTCTGAGAAAAATGAAGCCTGAAATCTTCTTTCAGTCTGTATGGTGAACGCAAACTAGGAGCAAAGCTCCTGTGCCCTCTGCAGGATTTTGGCTTGGACAAGAAGCTTATCTGATCAGTAAGCCTCCCACCTCTGTTCTACAGAGGGTGGCCCTCCACTGCTCCCAGACAGGGATGCCTGCAGAAGCCCCAGTGAAAGGTGTTAAGCAAAAGCAATGAGGCCATGAAGCTGTGCCAGGTGGGAGAGTCTCTCTACTATTAGACACAGATGAACGGATGACTCTCAGACAGCCCAGAAACTAGATGGGTGGGGGTTAGAACCACCAGCAGACCCCGAGCTGGGCAACACTGTCTTTCATGTTGTTCAATACCTGTACTTAAGAAACCCAAATGGTTCTTCCCTGTGACTCCTTTGCAACTCAAAGCTATAACTTACTCACAGCCCACACTATAAACAGACTGTATATACAGATTTTTAAAAAACAAAACTCACAAATTTAAAAGGGAGGGAAAAAAAGACAGTGAGTTCTAGCTTTTCATTATCTAAGTCACAGCATTTGGGCTGGCCGTGGTGACCTGCCCCTCTCAGTCCTGCTCCGGCTCTCCTGGCTCTGGGTGGACACTACTCGTCTTCCAAGGCAGAGGTCAGAATCCCCTTGTCAGTCAGGTGAGACTTGAGTGTGTTGAAGATGTGGAGCTGCTGATCCGGCCGCAACGTCAGAAACTGCTGAATCAGTTTGCTCGGGTTTGGGCCCCTACAACAGAACAAGAAGCATGACTGAGCAGGGGAGGTTACTCTGCTGGCCCAGTTATCCAAGTGAAACTCTGATCTGTAAATTCACTATTAGTAGGGGGGGGTCCATAAACATTAACAACTAAAAACCACATTCAAGCTTAGGATGAATTTCACTGAAATTAAGAGACTAATTTGAGGATATCATCATACTTAAAAAATCCAGTCAGGCATGGTGGCGCACACCTTTAATCTCAGCACTCTGATCTCCGAGTCTGAGGCCAGCCTGGTCTATGGAGAGAACAGCCAGGGCTACACAGAGAAACCCTGTCTTGAGAAAAACAAAAAACGAAAAAAGAAATCCACTCATGTGGTTCGGGTGGAGGGAACCGTACCTGATAAAGCTGGCAATGTACACATTGACAAAGGTGGCCATCAGGTACTGGCAGTCAAAGCGATCCATGATGCCTCCGTGACCAGGGATGGTATTGGCAAAGTCCTGTTGGAGCAGAGAAAAGAAGGGTGAGTCTGGCCTCACAACAACCAAATCCCAAACTATAAGATCCACCCCATAACAGAGCCCTGCTGGGTAGACAAGGTGATGAAAAGAGGTATAGAATCAAATGCTCAGGTAGTCACAGAATACAACTAAAATTCAAAATGTTCTTTTGTTGAAAGAAACTAACAAACTAAAAACTGACTTTTACTTTCGCTTACTGACCCCCAAGTCCAGCACATGGGTCAAGAAGAGCAGACATTAAGTGCCAAGGTACATAAACTGGTATGGTGGAGTGGTAAATGCTGACGGAGCAGGGCAGAGAAGGAAACGTGGATGGGCAACAGGAAGTGAGGGGTGAGGGATAGAGAGGAGCGTTTCCCTACTTTGATTTTAAAGGCTCGTTTGAATCCACTTGCGAAGAATCCTCCAAAGGGACCGATGAGAGAGGCAAAGGTGGAGAGAGCGATGCTGTGGATCTGGAAAGGGTACATCCTCACTGTTTTCTGAAGAGAATAAGTGAAATTCAAGTCAAGCAATGGGCAAGTCTGGCTTTTTACAATTATTGGAACAAGTTAATAAAACTAGTTCTCTCTTTTTCAATTAATCAGAAGACTGAAGGGCTGGAGAGATGGTTCAGTGGTTAAGAGCACCTGCTGCTTCTGCAAAACCTGGGTTCAGTTTCTAGAACACATGGTGGTCCTACAACCACCCATAACTCTAGTTCAAGGAGATCTGTTTTATTTTCAAACTAAATCTCAATCTTACGATTTTATTAATAAAGACTCTGGAGTCAGATGCTGGGATGAAAACCTACTAGCTCAGAGAAGTCGAGGAGCAACCAACCAACTGACCCTCCTCTTCAGCCAACTTCAAAAAAGAGCTTCTCTTCCACAGTCTCAAACCAAAAAGGCTGCCAAACTCAAAATCCTTCTCTACTGCTTCCTGTGTGTTTCTCTATTCGTCTTCCTGACTCTCTCTCACTCTCTACCACTACTTCCTGTGTTTCTCTATTCGTCTTCCTGACTCTCTCTCACTCTCTACCACTACTTCCTGTCAACTAGTTGCTGGCTCAGCCTCTTGACTCAATGTTGATTTTATTTAATTAACATAATCTCAGGGTTCATGGTATGATCAAAAATTCCACAACAGATCTCTCACCCTCTTCTGGCCTCCACTGGCACTGCACACACATACAGCCCTAAAAGCAAAACCCTCATACATATAAAAGAAATTAACCTAGGGGGGGAAAAAAAGATTGGTCCCTGTTTTTAGTTAAAGTTTCTAACATATGGCCCAATAGTAGATAGTAAGATATTCTGGCCTGGAGTAGTGGTACATGCCTATAATCCCAGCACTGGGAAGGCAGAAGCAGTAGGATAAGGAGTTCAAAGGTATCATTAGCTACAGAGAGTTTAAGGCCAGTCTATACTACATAAGAACTTGTCTCAAACAAACAACTAATCAACTTCCTATGCTGTTTTGCAGACAATATATAAGGAAATCCAGTCTTAGTCTTACAGAGAATATAATTTTAAAAAGATGTGTATTTTAGCAGTCTTCTCAGAGAATTGTGGGCATTCTTTCACCAGAACTTGACAGGCATAGTTTCTTAAAGCTTAGGGGCAGGCTGGGGAGATGCTCACCAGTTAAAGTACTTGCCCTACAAACAAGAAGACCAGAGTTCAGAGCCCCAGAACTCATGGAAATGTTGGGTGTGCATGGCTGCCAGCTGTAACTCCAGACTCTGAAGAGGATCCCAGAATAAGCTGGCTAGCAAGAAAGCATAGTGCTAAGTTCATGATTTACTCAAGAAGCCCTGCCTCAAAAGAATAAGGTAGAAGAACAATTGAGAAATCAACCTTAGGCCTCCACACACATATGTATGTATAGAGACACCTAAAAATAGACATACATTCATGCAACCACACACATGAAGAGAAGAAAAATATCTGAGAGCCAGGTGGTGGCACACAACTACAATCCCAGCACTCACAAGGAGGCAGAAGGATTCCAAGTTCATAGTGAGATCCTGCCTCACAAAAACAAAAGCCAGAAGAAAAGTTAGGTACAGTGTGGAATCTGAAGTCTTCCTAATGAATTTTTGTGCTTCTTCACATAAATCCATTGGTCTACAATGTACTGCAGATGGATCTTTTACCCAGACATGACTATGAGCACCATACACCAATCATCTAAGAAACACCAGGTCACTGTTATGCAACTATTATGCAAATGTGGGCACATTCTGTCATGTGAGGTCAGACGGCTTTGAAGTGCCAGAAAGCCACCATGTTCACAATGACAGGTGCATGTTTTCAAAATTCTCATTTTCACCTGAAATGTGGATTTTTGTCATTGTAACAACTATCAGTCATTTTCTTTGAAATGACAGGCTTACTTCATTCTTCTCAAGAAAAATGTCCCATTATACCCAAGTCTTTACAAATAAAAGCTCTATACTAAGAACTGAGCTCACAACTTACACAACTGTATGTCTTTCTTTCCTTGGAACACACTATGCTTCAGCATTTGGCAGAAATACTTTCTGTGTATTTTCCATTTCAGTACAGAGAATATTAAAATGGTGTCGAGGATCGGAAATATTTTAATGAAGTTACTAATTTTAGAATCCCATCCAGGGCATACACAAGAGCAACTGTCTTGTCTACATTTGCCAGGAAGGTATAGCATTGAGCAAGCAATCAGGAGCTAGTCCAGGCAGGGCTGTAGTTTTAACTCACACCCAAATGTCACAAATTTTCACCACATATTCTGTATCATCAGAAGATGTCAACCCAGAGAAAGAGGCACATATTATTTAGAAAGCAGCCAGGACTTCACAGAGATCTCAGGGTCCTCTAGGAACCCACACAGTAAGAGAACCACTCCTCTAAGTGACATGAAGTTGGGGAAAGGTCTCCTCTATCCCGATCCTGATCCAGAGCTCAGAGTTCTGGGAGGAGGGGAAGCTAGCATCTCTGGAGGGAACCCCTCCCTGCAGCCACCCAGTATGTAAGTGGCACATACCCAGCCAACTATCGACTGGACCACTCCAGGGATGTTGTACTCCTGCAGGCGGAAGAGGTCAGACGGCTCACAGTCCACCGTGAAGCTGTTGGTGTCATTGTTGTATTCCACAGGACAGACGAAGCATCTGTACCCAGACATCACATAGGAGAGCTAGGGATGGAGAGCAGAGGGGCAAGCAGGAACATCAGCTGTAGACATCCAGCCTGAATGGCCAGCACCATGATTCTCAGAGTTCCTCCCACCTCGCTCACTGGATGCCATGGGCTCAAAGAAAAGTTTGTGTTTAGTGTATATTTTACCTGAATTGTTAAGTAAAAAGGTTCATATGTCTCACTGGGGACACACACATATATGTCCAAACACAAACCTTGAAAAAAGACCCAGGAAAGATCTGAGCAAAGAGCTGTAAGACAATTCTTCCCACCTATGGAGCCCTGCCCCCATTGTGCTAAGAATCTCTAAAGTCAGTGCTACAGAGAAGCCATGGTAGGGATGTGGTGGGGAGGGTACAGTGACAGGCAGCCAACATTAGAAAAGGGAAGGACTGAGAATCAGCAGCAGGGAATGGTGTCTTCAAAGGGTTAGAAGATTATACTCCTGGACAAGCCATATGCAGAAGAAAACCTTGAGAGGAAGCAACACTTCTTACCTCACCCCTTAATCCAAGCTGCCAGTCGCCACCCCAGTCTTAGTTTAATACCTGGTGCCTGGGCATAAGAGGACATATAGGGTATGCATGGGCCCTACACAACAATCTGAAAACTGGAAGCTGCCATGCCAGTTACAAAACTTGTTCTTTTGAGCAAGGTCAGCACTGGGCAGGAAAGAGTCTCTGGTTTGGGAAGACATATTCTCCACTCCTGCACAGGCCTCTGAAGACAGTGTCAGGCCCTGTCCCCTCCCCATCCAGACAGTATTTATCACCTACCAGAAGGCCAAACACCACAGTGGCAAAGAAGCCCCCAATGAAGCCTTCCCAGGTCTTCTTCGGAGAGAGCTGCAGACAGAAACACACTGTCAGCAAAGGATAAGTCTGTAACTTCAGTTTGGTGCTTGGTTACTTAGGAAAAGTATTTCCAGCCAGGTGTGATGGCACAAACCTTTAATCACAGGTCTAAGGAGGCAGAGGCAGGAGGCTCTCTTTGAAGCCAGCCTGGTCTATCCAGTGAGTTCTAGACCAGCCAGGGCTACACAGCAAGACCATCTCAAAACCATACAAACAAGAAGTATTTCTACATAAAAACCCTCTTCAATTAATCATATCACTTTCAAAATTCTCTCCAAAAATGTTTTCCTTATTTCCTATCCTATGTTTTTCAGATTAGTTTTCTTTCTAGTCCATTAGTGACTTACACATTTATTGTATTATAAAAATATACATTAGTAATAATAATCAAAGACCAGAGCCCCAAAAGTATGTCTACATAAAAATATTTTATTTGGTAGGTTTTTAGAAATAAGTATTTGCCTATTTCTCTTTGGGCTTTTTTTTCTCTCTTACATAACCCCGGAGTGACAAAAGACAGCACTAGAGTAGATACACACCAACAAGATTTCTTCTCTAATCCACTGACAAGCCATACAGAAAGCACTACCACCCACTGGGACAACCCATATCAAGGTGACCCACTTACCTTAATGAGCGGGGTCCGACCAAAGAAAAAGCCAAACATATAGGCCATAATATCATTACAGATGACACACGAAATGGGAACAATGAACCTAGAAAAAAATCCGAGAGAGGAGTAACTCTACCAAGATGATCTCAGAAGTCTACCAAAGAATGTCAGAAATAATTCAGTACCAAGATAACTCATGGTGTATTTGTAACTCTTTAAGATTTAAGTTGAGAAGAAAATAAATATGGGAAGAGGAAAGGAAACAGTGAAGTGGGAAGGAAGAGAGGGCAATAAGGGGTGAGTAATGAAAATATATTGTATACACATATGAAAACATAATAAAATACATTACTATGTTTAGTTGATTATCTATAAATACAAATTTAAAAAGAAAGTAAGTCAGGCATGGTTGTACAAGCCTCTAACACCACCTGGAAAGGATAAAAAAGAATTGCTCTAAGTTCAAGGCTGGCTTAGGCTACACACAGATACCATCTCTAAAAAAAGCAGAGGAAGAACACACACCAATGCTGTATCTAGAGCCTGGCACATGACTGATATTCAGATGTTCACGGAATGACTGAACAAATGAAGACAGCATTTTATAAATGCCATTTGAATCTCTTTCATTACAAAGTAGTACATGAGCAAGATAACAAACTGTTCAAGGTGAGGCATCTGCTTACTTCCCACCCTTTATACTACTCCTCAAAACAGCAACCTAAAATCTTTTTCTGCCTAGTAATTATCTTTATGTTTTTAAGTAATACACATCATATAGTCATACTTAAATTTCCCATGTTAATTACTAGCACTAATATTCTCTATGTGTTTGAATGAGAATGGCCCCCACAGGCCCATTTATGTGACTGCTTGGCCATTAGTTGGTGGAACTGTTTGGGAAGGATTAGGTGTAGCCTTGGTGTGTCACTGAAAGCAGGCTTTGAGGCTTCAAAAAAGTCTAAGCCTTCTGTGTGTGTGCGTCCATCTGTGTCTCTATCTCTCTGTCACGGACTCTCCCCAAATACAATGTTTTCTTTCATGTTTTGGTCATGGCAACAGAAAAGTAACTAAGACCAACTAAAGCCCAGGGAGTGGGCTATTTCTGTAACAGGCCTGTCCACGCTGTTTCTGGAGGAATGTGGAACTTTGGGACTTTGGACGAGAAAAGTAGTTGAATGCTGTACCAGGGCTAACTTGACAGTTCTAATAGGAGCTTAGTAGTGCTCAGTGGACTGTGGATGCTCAGCTCAAGAGGTTTCAGAGAACAGTATCAGCAACTGAGCCAGAGACCATTCTTGTGATAGTTTCACAAAGAATGTAGCTACTTTTGCCCTATCCTAAGAATTTGCCAGAGGCTAAATTGAGGAGTTTTGGACTAATTTCGTTGGCAGAGGAAACTTTGATGGACAGCCTAACGTTGACTCTGCTGTGGTTACTAGTGATCACTCTTCTGCAGATGTTCAATGGAAAGGAATAGTGGGGTAAAAAGAAATGGCAAGTGTTCAGTTTGAGGAGAAAAAAGAACCAAAAAATTTAATGTTGGAGCCAAGGTTTGTGCTGAGAGAGATGAGGAGAAATGGATAAAGTGAGTGCTGCCCTCAAGGTAAGACATCACCCAGCTAAACCTACAACTTGTGAAAAGTTTTGCCTAAGGAATTATCTGTTCCTTAGAGCAACAACAATCAAAGCTTATGCAAATGATATTCAAGGAGGAGGTCAGTTTCCATCCTCAGCATCAACCAAGTGATTCTGGCTTTATTCATGAAAGACACAGAAGCAAAGGGGTTTTGGAATCTTCTCCCTAGGTTAAGGAAAGCTACTGAGGACAGACATGTGGCAAGAGAGTCCCTGAATGGAGACCCATAATAGCCTCCATTGTGTGAGGCTGTCAAAGTAAGGCCTGGATTGTACTGTAGACCCCAGAATGTTGGAGGTACGAGAGCTGTACCAATAAGTGGAACAAGCCCAAGAAAAGAAGTGTGCTGTAGTCGACAACGCGGGGAGGAGACATCTCCACCTCTGGCATGCGACATGGAGCTACAGGATTTGGAGTTTACCATGCTGGGTTTGGTCTTGCCTTTGGTCCAGTATTTCCTCACTACACCCCATTTCCTCCCTTGGAAACTGTTGTGCCACAGTATGTTGAAAGTATACAATTTGTTTTTTTGATTTTACAGGGCATTACAATTAAGAAATTGCCTTGAATCTCAGAGATTTTGTACTGTGAAGCTATTGAGTCTGAAAGATTATGAAGACTTTTGAAGTTCAAATAAATCCATTTTACATAAAGATATGGTCACGAGCCTACAGGAGCCAAGGAGTAGACTGTGGTGGTCTGACTGAGAACGACCCCATAGCTCACAGATTTGAACACGTGGTTGTCAGTTGGCAGAACTATTTCAGAAGGATTAGGGGTGTGACCTTGTTGGGGGAGGTGTATCACTGGGGGCAGGTTTCAAAAAGACTAAAATTTCAAAGTTTAGCGCTCTCTCGCTCTCTCTTGCTCTGTTTCCTGGTTATAATAAGTTCAGGGTTCAGAGATATGCTTCTTCGTTGCTCCTCCCCTGCTGATATGTCTTTCCCAACAGAACTGGTCCAGTCCACCCCTCACCTCACTCTGATATTGTTCTAAGTTCCTCTGTTCCAGTGTAATATGCTGTATGGAAATTGTGGTATTTCCCAGCTTACTCTGAGGGAGTTGAAAGTGACGGGCTCTTCAGGTCCCACAGCATTTCCTTCATCGAGGCTTCCCACCATCTCTACTCTACAGAACTATGATGAGGCCTTCATTAGAAAGGCTAATATTAGCCACAAATAATCCTCATGGTATGCTTGGCCCTGAATTTAGCACTCTTAAGAAATACCTAACAAAAACCCAGACAGGGAAGGAGCTGGTGGGTGCCTCCCGGGGCCATTACACTTGTTTTTAATATAATACATAAAGCTAACACTTGCAGGCACTCTTTAGAGATGAAGCTTGTGGGCTTGTCACCCACAGCATTTACCATCTTTCACAGTACACCAGGTTGGTCCTGACCATTCCACTGAGGGCATCTAGCTTCTCCAGTCAGCCTGTGACTAACAACAGACAAGTTCCCATGCTCTTAAATCAGATCACACAGAAGCATACTGTTCTTCTGACCCATTGCCAGATTCAATTCTCTGGCACATTATTTATTATTCATCATAAAGGAAATCAGTTTCCCATCTCCTTCTCCCTCTGTATGATCTTCAGCAGGGTCAGGTAACTATCAATTCTTGACCTATCTGGTCCTGTTTCTTCTGCCACATGGGGAACTATCAGTTTTCAAAGCTCCCTGTAATTACTGACCTAGTCACGTGTGTATGCTGTGAAATAATCTTTTTGTACACTGTGAAGACGTGTCATTCTTTTTTTTTTTTTTTTTTTTTTTTTGGTTTTTCGAGACAGAGTTTCTCTGTGGCTTTGGAGCCTGTCCTGGAATTGGCTCTGTAGACCAGGCTGGTCTCGAACTCACAGAGATCCACCTGCCTCTGCCTCCCGAGTGTATTGGTTTAATGAAAAGCCAGAACAGCTAATAGGTAGGCAAGATTTTCAGGGCGGAGAAAATGCCAAGAAGGTGGAGTGACAAGGCAGGCCCAAAGGAAACAGGAAAGCAGCATGGGCAATACACGGTAAAGGTAAGTAAGCCACGAGGCAGAAAGTAAAAATTGATGAAAATGGGTTAAGTTGTAAGAGCTAAAAAAAAAAAAAAAAGGCCTAAGCTCTCAACCGAGCTTTCCATGTGGTTATTTGGGAGCTGGCTGATGGGAGAGAAAAATCCGCCTCCATGTGTATATTCATTACTTTCCTTGTTTATAGGCTGTAGGAAATCATGATTATCTAGCCTACATTATCAAGTCTGTTGCCACAGTTTTTGACCTTCGGTTCTTTAACTTTCAATGAACCTGTCAATTTAGACTAGAGCGTCTCGGAGTCCAGTCCTGAACAACAGCACCTACCTCACCTGGGAATGGACTAGAAATTGAATCAGGTGCCACTCCAGACCTATGGGAATCAACTGTACTTTGTAAACCAGCCCACAGAGAATTCTGATGTGCTCACGGTGAGAAGCTTAGAAACGGAGGCAGAGATCCTTAGCCTGCCTGTGTATGAGAACCCCCAACCTTGAAGGGAAAAAAAATGTCTCAATGTCACTACTTACCATATCATTCCTTCAAACAAGTTATGGATAACAAGATGTGACTGGGTTACGACAATAAGCAAGGTCACATGGGTCCAGCCAAACTGCAAGAGAAAGGAATGAACTCTACCTACCAAGCGTATTGCCAAAGCAGCTTCAAAGAACAGGAAGGGACAAATGGGAAACTACTGAGAACTAGGGAAGACCTGCTTTCACACCTGGCTCACTGGCAGGGAAAAGGACCGAACGAGTTTCTGGAGTAGCATAGTCCTTCCCAGTGACTGTCCCATCAAAGCAGGGACTAAGTCAGACATGGGTAAGGCATGCCTGAAATCTCAGCGCTTCAGAGGCAGGAGGATTGTAAATGTGGGACCAGTCTAAGTTACATCATCATACCCAACCAAACAATAACAGAAACCAGCAGGGTCTGCCTCCTACTAGTGAATGGGTTCTTTCCCGCTCTCGAGCATGGGACATTTCATTTTCCCACTCACAGAGACTGTCTCAGGCCGAGGCAAGCAATGACCAGCACCAACAATGAACGAGATGGAGGCTCTCCAGCAGTGCCTCCACGGCTGCAGCATGGCCCTCCCTGGAGCCCACCTTCAGAGGAAAGACCTCTGAGGGTGTAAGGAGAGTCTGGTCTGCAGGACTCTTGTCTCCCTGCTCTATGTTCTAGATGAATACAGAACAAGCCATATCAAGTTTTGATTTGTTACAGAACATCAAAGGCCTAATTAGTTTCTACAGATCATCAAGCCAACAAACTTGCCTGGTTAGTCTCTGCAGATCTTCAAGTGAATCAAGAAATCAATTTCAATCTCTCTCTCACACACATAAAATGCACATTCATAACCCCCCCCACACACACACACACTCCCCTTACCATGTAGAACTGCAGTCGGTAATGCTTCTTAACTAGACTCAGCACAAACATGCAGAACCCTAGTTGGAGACAGGAGAGAAGATCAAATGACTCACACTGCATTTCTTCCTCTTTTTCTTTAGCTGAGTTAAGTGGTCTACTGACTAACTTACTTGTAACAATTAAGCAGTACAGAGATTTCATAGCCCACAGGGAAAATTAGCTTACAGCAATGTAATCAAGCTGTTAGCTTGCTTCCTAGCATGGTCAGTTGACATCACAAAATTTTAACCAACTCGTACAAATGAAACAGAGGAACACAATGCCCAGAGGAGAACTGGGGAAGCACACGATACATACCTGTGAGATACAGGGTAAAGGAAATGAACCGGTGGTATTTACTGAGAATTCGCAAGGGCTCCTCTCTTTGGACCAGAGTGAAGAAGTAATCCGTCACTGTCTCGCCATAGAAGAAGTAGTTTACACACAGAAGGAAGTACCTGGAAATGATGAGAAGGCAGTGCCAGGGAACTGTGTGCAGCCCTCCTCCATGAGCTCTCAGAAAACCTCGAAAAGGGAACAGCCCACCACCTTGAGAACTGATCTAGAAATTTATAGCACATTTTACTTTACTCTCCCTTTATTACAAACCTGGAAGTCTGCCCCCCCCCTTTGTGGTGTTCACACAGCCAATCTTGGGACCCTCCAAAGTGTGCCTCAGCCCACCCCCTAGGGTCACTCCGACTTCACACAGGATCTCCCCATTTCTGTCAAAAGTGGCTCACTTGGCCTTGTCACTGTCTGTTCTGCTTTATCTCTTCCTTGCTTGGAACACCCCTTCATCTATCCATTGTTTTCATTCATTGCTCCAACGCCATTTTAAGTAGATGAGAGAGAGAGAGAGAGAGAGAGAGAGAGAGAGAGGGGAGGGATAGATGGGCGGATGAATGGACGGACAGATAGGTAGATAGATAGATGAAGCATGATCTGATATCCATTACCACATCACATTTTCTATAGCAGGCAGTAGCTAATGACTTCATTAGGCACCTGGGCTCCGTCTCAGGACATACCCTCCTTTGGAAGCCTGGCTGTGACCCAAATCCTTCACCTAGCATTAACTATGCATTTGTTTGCATCCTCTCTTCAACTGGAGGAACAAGAGGGGGGAGCCACAACCAACAGCTCCATTATGCTTCTGGATACGGGATCATGCTGCATCAGCTCAAGCCCAAGCCCTCAACAAAAGAAACCAAAGAGCTTCTCTTTCCCATCTCTCAGTTACGAAAAACCCCCACACTGGGTTTATTTTCCATTGTGTGGAAAAACTTTCTTTGCAAAGTGACCATAGCAAGGGTCAGGCCTCCTGAGTATGTAACAAAATTCAAAACACAGCTGTCTAACTGTAGACACAAAGAGAACATCTGGCCCAGAGAGCAATCCCAAGGGCAGGTGGGGGCTGAGGGTCAGCTTGTACTGTTGAGTGATCTGAAACACATGGAAGAGTGTGCCCACGGCTGAGCAAGTCAGCTTCCTGGTCATCACCACGTTTCTCACGCACAAATCAGTACCATCAGTCCACTAAGTCCCAAAGCAGTTACCACAGTCAGTGAGTCTTCCCCGCTCTGCTAGAATAGCACCACCTGAGAACAGGGGAGCCAACAGCAGGTGGGTCAGGAAGGGGCTCAGAAATCATACGTGCTACAGTTCTTTATTTAGCTTTTGCTGTTAGGCTGATGGAGGAAGGTCATTGGCTAATAAAGGAACTGCCCTGGCCCATTTTATTGGTTAGAGGATAGGTGGGAGGAGTAAACAGAACAGAACGCTGGGAGGAAGAGGAAGTGAGCTCAGACTCGACCGACCGCTGTCCTCTCGGGAGCAGACGCCTGAGAGAGACGCCATGCTCCTGGCTCCTGGGCAGACGCACGCTAAGAAGCTCCGACCCAGGATGGACATAGGTTAGAATCTTCCCGGTAAGCGCACCTAGGGGCGCAACACAGATGATTAGAAATGGGCTAAATTAATATGTGAGAATTAGCCTAGAAGAGAATGGGCCAAGCAGTGTTTAAAAGAATACAGTGTCCGTGTAATTATTTCGGGGCATAAGCTAGCCGGGCAGGCGACTGGGGTGTTGGGGACGCAGCCCCTCCGCCGCCCTTATTACTTCATATGGCGCCCACGTGGACAACTGCTTCCACATAAAGCCTGAGACAGCTTGGGAAGTAATTCTAGAACAAAATGAAAGCATTGTGCCTGGTTTCTTGGTAGCAGCAATTTCTCGGTTCTACTCTGCTTGCTAGAGGCAAGCCAGCGCTCTCATCTAAGAGAGGCTTCCTGACTCAGCTTCAGCTGCAAAACCCTGCAGCTCATTAAGAGGTCCTGCCACGAAACACTTAAATGGTGTTGACGAAAAGCTGAACACATGCTTTTCAGTTTTCAGCCGTAGCAGGAAAAAAGCTGCGCCGTTTAAAAATGCCAGCTTTCTGGGCCATCCTGCCAGGGCAAACTCTGACTGTTTGAGGCAGGAGAGCCGGCTACCGAGAGAGGACTTGAGTGTTGTCTGTTGTAGCTCACTTGCTGGCAGGGACCTTGAAATGCCATACAGTTGTTGCAGTAAACATGGCTACAGCCTGTATATCCGCCATGAGGCTGGAAAGCTAAGGGATGGACTGGATATAGCTGGCAAAGCCACGCCTTTAATCCTACTGATATTGCTTGGTAAATTAAAGATTCATGTGGTCAGAAAAAGAGAGATATACAGTAAAGAGAGATTCAAAGACAGAGAAAATTTCTGAATGGTTTAAAGTGTGTTAAAAATATATGCAGAGCCGGGCGGTGGTGGCGCACGCCTTTAATCCCAGCACTCGGGAGGCAGAGGCAGGCGGATCTCTGTGAGTTCGAGGCCAGCCTGGTCTACAAGAGCTAGTTCCAGGACAGGAACCAAAAGCTACGGAGAAACCCTGTCTCGAAAAATCAAAAAAAAAAAAAATATATGCAGACTAAAAGTTGAAGTTCTTAAAGTAAAAAACAAAAAAAGGAAGAGAGTTGTTGTGTGTGGTAGCACACGCCTTTAATCCCAGTGCCTAGAAGGCAGAGACAAACAGATCTCTGTGAGTTCAAGGTGTAGTAGCTTACACCTTTAATCCCAATGCCTGGGAGGCAGAGACAGGCGGATCTCTGAGAGTTCAAAGACAGCCTGGTCTACAGAGTTACTTCAGGTCAAAGATACAGAGAACCTGTCTCAAAAAGCAAAGAGTTAAAAGTAAAAATAAACAAAATAGAGGTTAAAATAAAACGAACAAAGATGGAAAATACACAGAGAATCTTGATACTGTATGCTATTATGCTCTCTTTGAATTATTTAAATGTTGAGGAAGGAGCAACAGCTGCTAAAAGATATTTATTTATAAATGCTGCTGAGCTAATCCAACATAGATATTTTGATGCCTTGAATTTGAAGTTTGGATCTAAGGATATGATACTTTGGAAAGGAGTTTCTTATTTTGTTTTCACAGAGGATGAGACGCTGTTCATTTCTTCTATTCCGATTTGGTATGATGGACCATGCCCTCCTGAAGGGTTGCAGTGAACATCTTCAAAAAATTGCTTCGCTCAACTGCCAACTGAGATGAAACTAGCACACAGGTTATACCATGAAAGACCTAATTAACGATGCCCCCATTCAGCAGGAAGCAGTTTGGAGAGAAAAAACTGTGCCCATGTTCCCAAATATGGTTTATAAACGTCCTTTTACATTTAAAGGGGGATATGATATAGGTATGAATAATTTGCATTAGTATAGATTTTGCTTTTAGTATAGATTGAGATTTACGGTCAATTTTGTTATATGTATATGTATTTCTGATATTGATTAAGGTGTTGTGATTGTGTAGTTCATTATTAAAAAATGTAATGTATAATTAGGAAATATAAGTTGTTAATAGATAATCATAAATAATAGTCAAGTTTGTAGTCATGTTAATATTTTCTAGATGTACGTAGATATATTTTAGATAGGCATTCTTCATATTTTTCAAAGATTATAGAATATGGCATTTTAAATGTTTTAATAACTTAGGACTTTTCATGACAATGAGACACTCTGCTCCTGGCAGCACCAATCTACTTCAAGAGGAAGATGGGCATCGAAGAGGCTCGTTATGGAGTTTGATAGCCATTTGGGCAAGAAACTGCTCTTGCCTGGACTATTGCATAAACTGGACACAGAGAACCCACAGAGAGAGGACTACTGAACTTGCCTAAGGTGAGATGATCTTTCGGGGTTCCTGATTCATTTTGAAAGAGTCTGCGAGACATTCCGCAGGACACAACAGATAGTGACTGAACTGACTTTGAATTTTCCTGCTTTATGGAAATGTCTGCTGGATACCATGGGCCTGAAGGCTGAAGTTGGATGCCCCAACGATACAGAGGAACTTTGGGTGACTGTCCAGGCAGCGAGATGTCTCTGTCATTTCTAGAGTTTTAAAAGTTGCTTTTTTCTTGTTTGCTTAGGTAGTAGTGTATCTTTCTGGAGTCTTTGATGGAGTTAAGAATAGTTAGTTATAGTTATAGTTTTCCTTAGTTATGATAAAGATTATTGTAACTTTTACTTGATAACTGTTTTGTTATATGTAATTTTGCTATGTTAAAGCCTTTTTTTTTTTGTTTAAACCGAAAAAGGGGAAATGATGGAGGAAGGTCATTGGCTAATAAAGGAACTGCCCTGGCCCATTTTATTGGTTAGAGGATAGGTGGGAGGAGTAAACAGAACAGAACGCTGGGAGGAAGAGGAAGTGAGCTCAGACTCGACCGACCGCTGTCCTCTCGGGAGCAGACGCCTGAGAGAGACGCCATGCTCCTGGCTCCTGGGCAGACGCACGCTAAGAAGCTCCGACCCAGGATGGACATAGGTTAGAATCTTCCCGGTAAGCGCACCTAGGGGCGCAACACAGATGATTAGAAATGGGCTAAATTAATATGTGAGAATTAGCCTAGAAGAGAATGGGCCAAGCAGTGTTTAAAAGAATACAGTGTCCGTGTAATTATTTCGGGGCATAAGCTAGCCGGGCAGGCGGCTGGGGTGTTGGGGACGCAGCCCCTCCGCCGCCCTTATTACTTCATTAGGCAGCCAAGTCTTTTTAGGAGAAGAAAAAACAGTCTCTGAAGGAGCTCAGATCATCACCACGCTGGCACCATGAGTGCCTTAGAGGAAGAATGGTTCCAACAGATGAAGCCTCAATGATCTGTTGTACTGATGAGGAAATCAAGTTCCAGAGACAGCAGCACTAACACCAGAACTTGCCAGCTCCCAGTGAGTCCAGTGAGTTCAGTAAGGTGCTGGGTTGCAGCATAAAACTACGCTGATCTCAGGTGGGGACACAAGCTGCCATCCCTGGCTGCAGGAACGAAGGAATCCTACTACTGAGGTAGACTCAGGCCCAGACACATCTGTTTCTTCTAGGGAAGACACCAGCTACTGAAGACTCCTCAGAGACAGTCATACAATCCAGCCTATGAAAGACACAGACTCAAAGATACCGTGCAAGTCTGTGGCAATGGCTGTCTCCACCGTCACTCTGTAATCTCCTACCACCAATCACATCACCCACATCAGGCAAGGTGCCCCATGGACCAAGAGAGCTTACCAGCTGAGGGTCCTGAACCAGGGAAGGTCATAGGAGTGGTATACATTGTAGCCAATGGTGATTATCTCGTGGAAACACTTAATCTGAACACACATCACCTGAAAAACAGAGAAATCGGAGAGCTCTTCCTAGGGTCCTCACAGGCCTTCAGCACAGTCATGGTACTTAAGAGATGTTCCCCCTTTGTCTCAGACCACCCCAGGGTAATACAGACCTCTACTTCACAATTTCTCATAGGAAGATGCACAGTCCTAGTGTCCTTATTAACCTTTTACTCTAGAACCTTCCAGGACTCAGTCAATCCTCTTCCCACCTTGAGCTTGAATATATACGTTAGGGGCTCCGCTGCTTTGCTCAGCATCCAGCTGTCACCACCTAGAACTGTCTGTAATGACTGTGTTGATTACATTTTGTCCACCTGACACAAACTAGCGACATCTGAGAAGAGTGAAGTTCAACTGAGAAAAACGCCCCTACTAGACTGTAGGCCAGCCTGTGGAGCAGTTTCCTGACTGATGATTGCCGTGGAAGGCCCAGTCACTGTGGGTGCTGCCATCACTGGGCAGGGGATCCTGGGATGTATAAGAAAGCAGACTGAGCAAGTCATGGGGAGCAAGCCACCAAGCAGTGTTCCTCATTGTCTCTGCTCTAGCTCCTGCCTCCAGTTTCCTGCCCTGACTTCCTGCATGACAGACTGTGATCAGGACATGTAAACCCTTTCCTCCCCAAGTTGCCTTTGGTCATGGTGTTTATCATAGCAACAGAAGGCCAAACTAAAACAGGCAGGAAGATTCAACTCCTGTGAACTGCAAATTCTTAATCAAAGTTCTGAGTCTGTGAGTAAAGCCCCAGGAAAACAAGAAACAAAACCGGAATCTCACACAAACCAGCAGCCAGGGTCCTTCATGCCACTGACCCTACAGCCGGCATACGAGAAATGGGAGGAGGCTGTGCTCTAGGACAGAAGCTTCTGAGAAACTTGGGGCTCCGAGCATTCTCAAAACCAACCCAACACAAGGCACTACTGGCAGCAGGCACTGCAGATGGCCAACCCCACAGGTAAAGCTGATGCAGCACTATCATGGCTTGTCAACGGTACTTACAATCATCATCAAAACCATTGGTCCCAGGTAAATGATAATGAAGAAAAATGCAATCATGGCCAAAGTCAGGATGCCTCTCACCCACCAGTTCTTCCATCTAGGCGAGAGAGAAAGACCCGTTAGAAGCCCAGGGAGAACCAGAACACAAGCCTAAAGGAAGTGAGACTCGAGGGCCCTGCAGGTAGTAATCCTCTCAGGAGCAGAGGCACAGCTGGGGAGGGCAGGACCCGGCACCACTGTCTGCTCACAGCCAAGCTCAGCAGGTGCAGAAGCCACACGAGCACACACCTCAAAGTCTGAGGGCAGTGTGCAGAGAGCCAGCAGGTAAGACAGTGTCCTTTGCTCCTGTGTCTACATGGATGGCTTCCATGGCCATTTCTAAGTCTAAAATCATTTTTTTTTCCCTACAGCTGGCTTCTTCATGGCATGGCCCTGAAATCACAATGATAACAGTTGTCTTAGACAGAGAGAGTACCAACTGTCACAAACATGCAACAGGCGTATCTATAAGAACTTTATGCATTAACTCACCCAACCCTCAACACAACAGTCTAAATAGGTTTTATTTCAACTGGCATTTTTAAATCAGCATATAATATTTGTACATATTATGCTTAGAAATGGAAACAGGGAGCTGGAGAGATGGCTCAGAGGTTAAGAGCACTGGCTGCTCTTCCAGAGGTTCTGAGTTCAATTCTCAGCAACCACATGGTGGCTCACACCATCTGTAATGAGATCTGGTGCCCTCTTCTGGCCTGCAGATAGAACACTCTATACAAATAAATTGAGGAAAGAAAAAAAAAGAAAACAGATCCTGCAGCAAGCTAATGGTAAGCTGGGCTTTCAACCCAGGATCCATGATGCCCTTACCCACAGAAGGCACACAAACACTTTCAGAGAATGCTCTGGAGTCTTACGATTTGTGCTTCTCATACACACACAGCTGGTGTTTAGGGGACTGGTTTTCTTGAGTCAAGAGTTTTACCTCTGATTCACTTAAGCTGAGACACTTCTTAGTTCTCCCTTGAGAACTGAAAGAAATGTTCACAGCGGATATATGTGGAGAGAAAATAATCTTGAACCAGAAACCCTAAAAACCTCAGCCTTTCATGCAACTGGCTCGGTCACCACTAAGTTGGTTACCTTGAAGACAAGTTGGAAAGGGCCCTGTTAAGGACCTCTGGGGTGTCATCTATGGGGGCTGGTGGGGGAGCTGCTTCTGCTCGGCTCTCACTGTCTGATGCAGTCTCTCCATCTATCTTCGCTTCTGACTCCAATTCCTATACAGCAAAAACAGAAGAGCAAAGGTCAAAAATGCTGGGTTAACTACTAAGAAGTGAGTGGTTATCATGGAAGATCCATGGAAAAAAGGCTCAAAGAGCACCTGGCACAGGAGGTGACAGAGCAGATGGCACGCAGTAATCCTGACAGTGTTCTGAGAAGAGGCATCTGTGCCATGCACACCATGGGGAGCGGGGGTATGAGAAGACAGACATGGCTCACTTGTATCCGGAGAATGCAAAAAGGAGGAAGCTGCGACTAACTTCCTGAGGGCCTGCCCATGAGCCTGCCATTATCTAAGTATCCCAGGCTCATCCCTGTCAGGGCACAAGCACCCAGAAACAGCTCTCCACTTCTGAAAACCCCTCACCACCAGCACTTGAACCTGAGAGTGCAGCCTCTCCTGTGCCGTGGCATACAGTTCCAGAGTGGCCAGTGGCACTGTCCAGGCTCTCAGAAGAAGCCAAATTTGTGGCTTCTTGCCCCCAGAGACTAGTAAATACCGCCATGCCCCAAAGCCCAAGAGACTTCTGACCCTCACAAGAATACACTGTGAGAGCTGCCACAACCAGAGTAAAGCCCCACGTTCTGGTCCATTCAAGTCAATGCTCTAGCCAAAACTGGGTCTCTCCCTCCGCCTCACACAGGAGGCTGGACATCAGCAAATTCTGCACACAGGATTATCCTCCAGGAAACACCTGTAGCACTGACCTTGTCCCCTGCCTGAGTGGGAGGAACAAAAGCACACCAGCCACAGACTATTCTGGTCCTACAAACCATCTTGGGAGCAATTGGTCCGGGTGCTGTGAGAAGAGGAGGGGAATCAGGTCCCTGAGAACTGACCACCAGCACTCTTAGCAATCTGTGGACTGTCTCCAACCCAACACAGTGTGAGTTCAGAGCAGAACTGGGAGGAAAGGAGACACAGACAAGAAATGGGCTCTGGGAAGCCCGTGTGGCCCAGTGCCACATACTAACCCACCTTTTCTAACTTCAACATGCTCACCCCACTATATTTTCTTTCAGTCTGGAAATCATTTCATTCTTCATCAAGAAATTAAAAAAAAACTAAAAATGACAGACATTTTATTAAATCTTCAAAACCTTGTGAAATATGACACAGAAACTGTCACTTTTTTTTTTTTTTGACTTTCGAGACAGGGTTTCTCCGTAGCTTTTGGTTCCTGTCCTGGCACTAGCTCTTCTAGACCAGGCTGGCTTCGAACTCACAGAGATCCGCCTGCCTCTGCCTCCCGAGTGCTGGGATTAAAGGCGTGCGCCACCACTGCCCGGCGAAACTGTCACTTTTTAAAAGTTAAATAAATTTTACACTCTCCCATACATAATTTCATGATTATTGACCAGTGTTATATCTTTTGTGAAATGTTTGTCAAGCTATTGGTAAGCTTTTTTCTTCTGAGCTTTCTGTCTTACTAGTTTGTAAAATGTTTTAAATGTACCCTTTTTATTTAAGAACTCTGTCACAGACATGTTCTCTCCCTCAGCCTCATGGTCTCGTCACCCTGGGACCTTCCCTCTCAATGCTGCTCACAGCGAACCTTCTTTTATAAAACTGTTTCCCGGGCAACTTCGAAACATTGGACCACGACATCTTGTTCTCGTTTCCTCGTGCCTGGTCCACAGTAAAATGCCTGCTAATGGGTAGAGGAGGAAAGGGAGGGGGATTAATCCCAGGTGTGACAGAGAGACCCAGCTGCTGCCCTAAGAAAGGCAGCTACAGCTAAACCGGTTACAATTGTGATCAGCCCTGACATGGGGTCTTGGCTAGCATGGGCTGTTGTCATTAAGAGACAGCTGGCTCTGGTAAAGGACCTACAGACACAGCACACCCAGTGAGGAGAAGCCACAGCTTGTCACCACTGACCCAGATGGCTCTGAATCCTTATATTTCCATTTTATGAAAGGGGCTCAGGAGAGGTCCTCCTCATCCTTGGGAGTTCCTTTTTTATGTGCTGTTTTGCTTTATTTTACAGCCTGGAGATTAAACCGAGGGCCTTGCACATGCCAGGCAGGCACACTACCTTACTACCACTGCTCTATAGCCTCCAGTCTAGCATAGGTATTCCCCGAGGAGAGAGAGAAGCAAATTCCACCAGAGTTATGTCCTACTCCACTGTCACAGAGACACACGGAAGTCCTGGCACAACGTCAGTTTCCACTCTTTAACGTTTACATCCCACAGCACTGGCCACCGACTAGGCAAGGAGGACAAGATAATAATGCCATGTGGTGTTATCTAGTTCTGATTCCTGGACCTCAGGCTTCCAAACATGAGCACCCCCACCCAGTAAGCCACTCACTGACTTACTCTGGGAGCATCTAGATGCCCCAGGAACTGAGCCAAGCACCAGAGAAAGCACAGCGCAAGGTTATTTTTAGCTTATCTATCCTGTTGTCAAGGAGACTCACAAAGACTGCTGGGTCCCCAGGCAGAAAAGGACAAAAACAGAGGTAGAGCTGGGGAAGCAAGGGGAGGATGCTAAGAACCTCTCTGGTCAGGCAGAGCAGCACCTACCCGCCTGCAATCCTGAGATCTCAGCCCAGGAGGTTGAGGCAGGGAGTCTACTCTGAGACCGAGGCCTTCAAGTCAGTCAAGGATACATAGTAAAACTGTCTCAAAAGCAGAATAAGTCTCCATGGGCCTTTTATGAACCTCAAGCCTGATACTACACCTTCCCAAACCTGATTCTACTTCTTAAAAGAAGAAGAGGTGTTCTGAAATACAAGTCAGTAAAAGGAGATAAAGAACTACCGCAAAGTTCTTTGTGTTATTCCCAAAACCCTAAGGTGACTAGAATGAAGGACTAAGAAATGGAGTAGGTCTAGAAGGAACAAGCCTGCAGGAAGGGAACTCCCTAGGTCTCACCTGCCTCCAATGAGCAACCTCAGGATCTCTCTGGATAAACACCTTGGAGCCCCACCTAAGAGTACTCGCTAGACAAAAGGCCAACAACCATTGCTGACACCACGCTCCTATGCTGACACCTCTCCAGCTACGCACACTCACACCCAGGCACGGCGCTCAGGACCAAGTTCACCAAGGGACAAGAAACTTGTGAGAGCCTACAGCCTGCAGGTTTTCTGGCCTCCCTCAACTCACAGGCAAAGGCCTCCCACTCAAGAAAGCAGCTGCTCATGTGGACACGAGGGAAATGGAGTGCCCACAGCAGCTTCCCCAGTGGGCAGAAGGCAGGGACCTGGAGCCAAATCCTGGCCCAGAATAAAAGCAGCACACTCTTCAGAGAAAAATGGGGGGGGGGGGGTTGCTCTGCAGTGAAGAGGGCTGGCTGCTCTTCCTGAGGACCCAAGGTCAGCTCACAGCACTCACATCTGTCTGTTACTCCAGCTGCAAGAGGTCTGACGCCCTCTTCTGACCTCACCAGGGACCAACACACATGTAGCACACACATGAAAATTTTAACGTTTTGGGTTGGTTGTTTCTTGTTTTGTTTTGTTTAAATCAGATGTGGAGCCAGGAAGATGGCTTAGTGGGTAAACACAGCTGCTGTCAAGCTGATGACCTGAGTTCAATCTCTGGAACCCACAAGCTGAAAGGAGAGAATTGACTTCCATAAAAGTTGTCCTCTGGGGCTGGTGAGATAGATGGCTCAGTGGTTAAGAGCACTGCCTGCTCTTCCAGAGGTCCTGAGTTCAATTCCCAGCAACCACATGGTGGTTCCCAACCATCTATAATGAGATCTGGTGCCCTCTTCTGGTCTGCTGGCACCAGAACACTGTGTACATAATAAATAAATAAATCTTTAAAAAAAAAAGTTATCCTCTGGCCTCCACATATGCCCCACCCCCTAATGAGTAAATAAATATAATTTACAAAACTAAAAATTCAGAGGTGCTGCGCTCCAGGAGATACCAAGAAAGACAGAAGCCCAGAAAAACCTTCCACAGGAGGTGGCAGCTTCAGTCTGGGAAGCAAGGCTGACTCATGTCCGTCACACTTAGCAGGCATCTCCCTCTCTGGTCTTACAATAGGGAGAAGACTCCCTTACCTCACACGTTGCTGTGGCTACCCTGTCAGTCTCTCCCACGCCCACCTCTCAGTAACACGCCCAAAGCACACAGTTCAGAAGCAAGAGAACCTTAAACACCTAGCCAACCTGGACATCAAACAAAGGAGGAAGGGTAGAGAGAAAAATACTGGGCTGGAGAACTAACAAATTATTTGAATGCACCATTTGCCTGCCGAGTTTCCTTATTTCATATAGGCAGCCCCGCCCAAAAAAAATTAAGATTCCTTAAGCCAGTGTGTAATCTCTAACACATGCAGGCTACCTGTTAAAGCAACAATACATGTATGTGCTCACTCTCCACTGGGATGTACACAATACAGAAATGAGGGTCTCCTCCTCTACGGATTTGTTATTTTATTTTATACATATAAGTGTTTTGTTCTCTGCATGCATTATGTACATCATATGCATGCTTAATGCCCTTGGAGACCAGAAGAGGGTGTTGGATGTTGGGGACTGTGGACCCCCAGACCCTGAATTTCCTGTAAACAACTTGTTTTCCTGTGCTTGCAGTTGCTCTGCGCACAAGACAGGAGAGTGGTTTCTGGTGGGCTAACAGCTGAGAGTTAGAGCATGGCCATTAGTCAAGGAGACCCTGTATAATCTGCCCTGGAACACAATAAAGGGGCATTCTTGACTCAAGGGAGCATTCTTGGCATTCTTGTTTCAAGGATGGCCCATGACTCTGCATGTGGCTGTGTGTGTGTGTTTCAATCTCCATCTCCTTGCCCGCCTCGTGAACCATAACTTAGTGCATAGAGCAGGCATTACGCTATGGTTGCATTCTCTGGAAACAGAGTTACAGATGGCTGTGAACCACCATGTGGGTGCTGAGAACTGAACCTGGTTCTTCTGGAAAAGCAGCGAATGCTCTTAACCACTGAGCCATTTTTCCAGACCCTGGGTCTCTCCTATGTTTCTAAGAATGGGTGGTTTCCTAGCACAAGCTG